TTATTAGGAAGATGCTGATGTACATCTCTTGATTTGTTTGCCTCTGTCGGCTCTTATGATATCCACGAGATGATATGGGGTAGTGGATATCCTTACGCCTTCGCTATACGGTACATCATCATGATCAGCTCATAAAATTCTACTGGAACATGGGACTCTCCGATATCAGGGAGGATTTGCTTTACACATACGCTTGATAAGCAGGTTGACGATCGCAGTACCACCAAGCATTTGGCACCTTCGACGCTGTTTCCTATCGCCGGTCTGTATCACACAAAAATCAATAATGGTACCCACTCCATAGTTTTATAAACCGGAGTTTTTTGTGTGTCACACCAAAACAACAAATAATCTTCGGTAAATTATCGCCAATGTATTTGTTGCACTATGACTCGTTTGATAAGTTATTCAGCATGAAATCTTAATTTTTTTTGAAATTACCTTTTTATTATTTTTATTAATTATTATTTTTATTACCTTTTTATTAATTATTATTTTTTAAAAATTACCTTTAAACGAGCAGTTCTTGTATTTATCTGAATCGGATTCTCGGAAACGGCTCCAACGATTTTCATGATATTTAGTATGCAGGGGGTTTCGGGGGCGATAAATCGATCTAGCTAAGATTCATTTTTAGAAAATGTCGCTTTATCCGTGTTTTCAGGCCATGAAAAACTGTTACAATATCATTAGAATACGAAGGTAAATTTTCCCACTATCTATTAGGTTATAGAAGCTCAGGTGGGAATTCTGGCGGTATCGAAACCAGAAGACCCCGGTTTGAGTCGAGATGTCTCCAGTCCGATAATCTTTTTTCCCTTTCTTTTTCAAGTTCTTTCTTTTGTGAGAAAGACTATTATTGGGAGCCCTTTTGGGGAAGAAATGAACGAGTTTTAAAAAAAAGAATACGGTAGTAATTACATTAGTAAACAAACCGACATATTTTTATCCTATTGGCGATGTTTCGGTACAAAGATAAAAGTCAAATCAATAACTCTTTATCGATAATCAACTTAAACATAAACTGAAAAATATGACTGCCTGACATCCATTGGCGAGTAATATTATTAAATAATATTAAAAAATAATACTATTATTTTTTAATTGAAATATAATTTTCCAAATAAAATACCGAGCATAGCTCGGTCATCCTGGTACTTACTTATTAATAAGTCTTCCCACTTATTGCCGGTCCTCAGCCACCTGCGTCCTGCTCTACTCTCTGTATCAATTAGAATGTGTAATTTTAAAGTGCGCAATTTAATATCCAGGATTTATTTATATTTCAGGATTCAAAATGCGTGCAGTCGTTGCCTTATGCCTTATCATTGTGATCTATTGCCTGATCTCTCCAAATGAAGCCAACTATCGGAAACCACCTTTCAATGGATCTATTTTTGGAAAGCGAGGAAATATCGGTAATAATTTAATCCATCAATTATGAAATTTTTTACTGATGATAGGTACTACGAAGCTTATTATGATCATAGATATTGAGTATATTCAGTCCAGTACTCAGTCAGAGTATAATAGTCCCTGAATTTAATTAATATCATTCATAATTAATATTATTTCGTAAAAAAACTTCATTTCTCATAGATCCCATCTCCTGTGTCAGTATCCCTCGGACATCACTTACGACATCCAATCCACGTATAATACGACAAAAATTACGCCATAACTAAAAATTTTTGGTAAAATTCGGACAATACCATGCTTAAAATTATTGTGCTTGTGTTTTTCAAAGACCAGCGGTAATTCGATCGATTCGAGATAATGAGATCGCTTTTTATTTTTAACATGAAATTTTTTCAAGCTCTTCTCTCTTTTCTGCTCTTCTGTAAATGTACACATTCTAAAAATTACCTTTTCCTTTATTAACAGTTTTATAAAATATGATAAGTTAATGTCGTAACTAAAATGTATCGTGATTTGATGATTATTCATATGAGTAGCATATATTATTCATTTATATATTATATTAAATATATATATATATATTTTTATTTTATAGAATTAGGTTGACAAACAAGCATACAGTCCACCTGATGGTAAGAGGATGCTGTGGGACATAGACATCTACATATATCCTTAATTAAGAATCAAAATACAGATGATGTCACCCTTGAGTACTAAGATGGAATCGCTAAGATGGCCTCGTTTCAAATAAAAAGGTTCCTCTACACTCATCATACGAAACACAGCAGCATTGCTAGCTTGGCTGCTTGGCTCTACTACGTACAATGTAAAATTGCTGTTTTATTTGCTTATTTACCTCGTGCTCGCTCGGTAAAAATAGTGAAGAAACCTACATATCTGAGAAATAAATTATTTGAGGGACATTTCATGTAGAGTCCACAAACACATTGGAACAGCGCGGCGAACAGGGAACTATAAATAATAACTCTAAAACACGCTCACGCGCAAGAAAGTCGTAAACACAGATTACTGGGTCGTAAATGGACTGTCACTTTAATTTTTAAAACCTTTACTAAAAATTAATATTGTTTACCTTTCAGAATATGATACATCTGAAAAAGCTATGACGGCGTTGTGTGAAATTGCATCAGAGACCTGCCAAACCTGGTTCCAGAACTTAGAGAATAAAAAGTAAAATTATTATTGTAAATTCCAAAATCTAGCAATGACAAAAAATTGCCTTTGAATCTTATAATAATATGTTTCAGAGAAGTGAATAAATTTTGAAGACATTAAACGACATATAATCAATATCAGATTTCATTTATTCCTTGTAGTTAAATTATACTATTTAGTTTGTTATATTATTTATATATAACAAACTAAATAGTATAATTTATAATATTATATATATTATATTATTTAGTTAAATTATATTTAAATTAAGACTGTAACTGCGTGGCATATTATCATCTCTGCTGCAGCGCGCTATATTGACTATCCAACTACAATCCAAGCATAAATCATAATCTCCACGAAAGAGAAAAATCCAAAAGAATTTTTTTAAGTTCAATCACAGAATAAATAATAGTATAAGAAGTTCAATATAGGTTCCAAATAATACTCCTTCAAAGTTATTCTTATGTTTAATTTGACTAGTGGTTCGATAAATACCACTGCCCTGGAAAGGACCAGCAGGAAACCAAGCCGGACATTTTTGGACGTGGGACTAGAGAACAACGCTCAATGTATATCAACGCTGCTATAGATTGAGGGTTGTTTGTCTTAAGCTAGACTTGTAACAAATAGTATATTCGGCCACACTGAATACCGAATATTTTGCGGGCTTGTTGGCCGAATAGCCGAATATTAGAAAAAGTATTCGACCGGGAAAATAGTAGTGTTTATTCAGAGGAGTAAATAAACCACTGTCTGAAAATATAGAAAAATTTGCCTTTCTCCTTTTTATAATGTTAATTCAAGTGCATAGACATTTATTTCATTGTTTTTTTTTTGTTAATTTTGCAAGTTTATTATGTAACTATGACTAATGATTACAAGAAAAATACATTATTATAAAATAAATCAATATTTTCATTTTACCAATACTAACAAACATTTTACTCAAGTATTCGGTATTCGGTCGAATACCATAAGAGTAACCGAATAGGCGGAATACTGAATAATAGCCGACTATTCGTTGCAAGTCTAGTCTTAACTCTTAACCCTTCGACCATTACATACATACCTTGTGCTACATACAATACAATAGGTTTCTTTCTAAAGGCTGTTTCTAACTATATGCGATATAACCTTTTTTGTGATCATTCCTAAATCAAGTGTTCGAAGCGAAATTAAACACTAGCGGCCGGTTAGCGTTCTTCCCGTACTGGCTAAATTTTTTGAGCCCCTCATATGTCCTTGATCCTTGTTGCACCCTAAAGGTATAAAATAGATGATGAAGTTTCTAATGTTAGGCTATTTAGACGATATTCCAGTTGTTACCTTGAACTTTTAATATACAGTAGTTCAATCCAAAGGAAAAAAACAGTTAAAAAGACTTCAAAAATTAAAAAGAATATAATTTAAAATTAAAAAAATTGTAAAACCGACTTCAATATTGATTATTAAGCATAACTAAAAAACTATTGGTCAAACCTTAATCAAACTTATATGGGACTACATGAGAAGCACCAGCTTTCAAATAAAAAAAGAATCTTCGAAATTGGTCCACCCAGAAAAAAGTTATGAGGTAACACACATTAAAAAAAGCATACAGTCGAATTGAGTACCTCCTCCTTTTTGAAGTCGGTAGAAATATCATTTCTACTTATTAGCTTCTAAGTTGAAGTTTAATACTTTGAATAATTTTGTATTAGCAGTGTCTCTTAGTATTTCCACATCTTTTAAGTTTTTTGAAGACGGTTCTGTTAGTAAATAATACAATTTAGGTTACTTGATCCGTTCATAAGTTACAACTAATTGTCGTATAAATAATCACTTTTACTTATTAATTTCACTACACAACACAAAAACACTAAAGTCTCTTATAGTTTGAACACCTTATAATAGAATTAGCTTGCTACATATATATTTATCTATGAATAGAATGAATCCAGCTATGGTGGTGATAGCCAATTTTATATTTTCTTTAAGGAGTCAAATCCGAAACTATTACAATAAAAATCTTACCGGATATTCAAAGATACAAAAGCGGAAATCCGATTTACATTTATTAAAGTTAGAAGTTAGATGTATGTTTCACCAGACAATTACATTAAAATTAGGGTCATTCAGTATATGTTTAATAGGCTATTTGACTAATTTTGGAAAACCATTTTAAATGATTCTTTATTACGTAATAAGCATACTACATTGATATTTCCGAGAGATCTACTGTATTAACAATAAAAATCAAAGTTAAAGTTTAAATTTCCAAAACCGCGGCAAAAACGCTTATTCTGTAATGGCGCTGGTCATATTCCGTGTGACGTCACACACAAGTAAAAAGGTCAATAACCCTAATAAAACAGTGCAGCTGAAGTGAATTTTATTATTTTTCTTCAAATTTATTCGATAAAATGGTGTATAAATGGTGTGTAGTGCCACAATGTACTAATACGACTATAAGTAGTCCACACAAACTGTTTGTTTCTGTTCCAACGAATCCCAAAAGACGAAAAATGTGGTTACGATTAGCTCGAAGAGACCCAAAGAGCATTTTAGCTCATACCAATGTTTTTATGTGTGAAGATCATTTTAATGTAAGTAATATATAACTTTATATATACTAGACTAGATGGTAGCCTAATATCGGTTTTTGTATAAAGTAATAACATCTTTAATACCCAACCTCCAAATATGGCTTAATCTTACAGCATAAGTTGGAAGGATACTTTTCACCCAAACCCTACAGGGTTCCCTGTAGGGTTTCATATGTTATCTGTTATGTTATTTAGCTTTCTTAATAATTTTCTTATGCTGTCTTGTAATGTTTATTGTCTTGTCAAACATAATATAGATACTTCACTCCTTACATTGGCAATAATGTTGAATTACAGATGGAAAAGGACACAATTAACTACTTGAAGTACAAAATGGGCTTCAGTCAGAAGATACTTTTGGCAGATGAGGCTGTGCCAACTAAATTTCATTGTCAAGAGGATCGTAGAAGTCTGCTACCTGATGCTGGACCTTCTCGAGAAGTTTTCTTTAAAAGGCAAAGAATTGATATTGTCACAGAATGTCTGCGAAGACATAGTACTACAACCCATACAGAAAGCTTACAAAATGATGATATGATACAAGAAATCATTGAGCCTAAAGGTTATGTTATCTATATAATACAAATGTCATAAGATATTTTTTCACATTTAAATGAGTTAAGTTTATGTTATTCACATTTAAATTAAGTAATTAATTTGGTTTTTTGTCTTTTCAGAATTACCAAAAACTCAAGACAAAGAAACAATCACCGACCCTATCATAACTGTAGAAAAAGCTGTTCAAGCAACAAAAAAAGTGAATACGCATTTTAGGAGCAAGGCTGTGCAAACTACATGCCAAAATAAAAGTATTTCTACCTCACCATGGAAAGTTTCTACAATATCTCATTTCACTTCACCAATTAATATTAAACCATGCCATCTTCAACCATTAAAGTCAGAGGTTGTTAAAGCAGTTAAGAGAAATATTTTCCTTGTAGATGAAAAATCTGATAGTGATATTTCTTGTTTTGAAAGTGGTCTTTTATCACCTTTTGGAGCTACATCAGTAAAGGTTACTGACTCTGATAGTAATGTTACAGATACCAATGAGAATATTGAAAAATTACAGTGCCTCAAAAATACTTTGCGTTTAATTGAAAAGAAACCATTGATGTATATTGGTATTTCCAAAGAATGTTATTTTTTAATTGAGTTGTTGCATAGACACACAAATATAAATAGAGAACATATTTTGCTATGCTTGAAAAAAATTAGATTAAACAGCACATTTTCTGAACTCGAGGATAATTTTGGTATATCATTATCTTATGCCAGTAAATTATTTTTAAGAAACTTACCAATAATAAGTAGTTTTTTAAAACCATTCATTGTAAACTTAGACAAAAATTTAATAAAAAGGAATCTTCCTATTGCATTTAGACATAACTATCATAATGTAAGCTGCATCATCGATTGTCTAGAAATTGATATACAAAAACCATCAAAGGCTCTTCATCAGGCTCTGACATGGTCAGAGTACAAAAAGGGGAATACTGTGAAGTATTTAATATCATGCACACCTAATGGTTTGGTTAATTATGTTTCTCAAGGGTTTGGGGGTAGAGCAAGTGATGTTACCATAGTAGAGAACTGTAACTTTCTAGATGGATTACAACAGGGAACTTGCATCTTAGCTGACAGAGGCTTCAAGCACCTTGAACAGATACTTCATGAAAAGGGCATAAAACTATTAAGGCCACCCAGTGTAAATGCTGGTGCAAAGTTATCAAAAACTGAAGTTCGACAAACTAAAATTATCGCTAGCTTGCGAATTCATATTGAAAGGGTAATTAGGCGAGTAAGAGAATTCCATATGCTAAAGCAACATTCAGTGATAAATACTGACATATGTCGTGTACTTGATCATGTCATTATTATTGCATGTGCTCTAATAAATTTGCAGGATTCTCTTATTAAATAATGTGAAATCATAAATAATAAAACAAGAAATACATCATGATTTTTATCGGCTGATATTGAAGCTATATTTGTTTTGCAAAAGAGAGCCATACGGGCGATTTATAACCTAAATTGTAAAGAGTTCCTCAGAGAAAAATTTAAAGAAATAAGCATATTAACTTTGGCATCGCAATATATTTATGAGAATGTAATGTATGTGCATAAAAACATAAATAGCTTTAATAAGAATAAGGATGTGCATACTTTAAATACTAGGAACAAACATAAGCTTGTAATGCCAGTAACTAGACTCCACAGAATCAGTAATTCATTTATGGGGCAATGTATACGCTTTTACAACAAAATCCCAGAACATATTCAAAGTTTGTCAATAAACAAGTTTAAAAGTTTTATTAAAGAAAAACTGTACAAAAAGGGTTATTATAATATCAAGGAATACATGAATGAAAATAACCCCTGGGAATAGGGTGATCGCCAACATGCTGGTTCTATGAAAAATCATTTAAAAATTGTATAAATAAATTATTTTTAAGTGAAATTATGTTTAAAAAAAAAGTCCCGCTGGGTTTCTTGCTGGTTCTTCCCAGGACTGAGGTATTTTCCGAACCAGTGGTAAATAAAAAATTACTTTCAATAAGTATTATGTAATAATCAATATTGAATAAAAAATTATTTTATTCTATTCTTATTCTATTTAATCATTATCACTGAAAAGGAAAAACGGGCCTCCATCGCCCGCCCTGCGGCAGAGATCAACCAATTAGTGTCCTATTCACAGATCCTAATACCACACGACGTTGGGTTCCCTGACCCCTGAGTAGGTGTGCAACTCGGGGCAACATAAAAATTTTCAAATATTTAGCAAAATATAACAATTTTACAAGCTATTTTTAGAGTCATAAATCTTAAATATCTATCACACACATTCAAAACAATGATCTTTATTAATAAGCATGAATATCTTAATACAATTGTTTAATTCAAAAATTAAAACTTTTAAGCAGTATTAAAACTCTTTATTTTTTTTAAAAAATACTAGTAATGCTATTAAACCTTACTAATATTCCCTTTAACCACTTCTGGTAAGCTTAAAATGCTTGTGTTAGAAGTGGTTCACGACAGTAATCGAATGGCGGATTCGAACCCACGACCTTACGAGTTCGCGGTCCACGCCCTGCCATTAGGCTACTGACGCTTCTAAGCTTCTTCTGAAGCTTCTTCTTCTTTATTTCAACTATAATTTTTATTTAATATTATTAATGTATTATAATTTTTATATATTAATATTATTCTAGCCATAACACTTAACACATTTCTTATCTTATTATTCTATACAATAATCCTGTAACATTTATTACAATACTAATTAAATCTCTAATTTATTTAATACATTTACATGTTATTGAAACTTTCATAAAATAATTGTTTCTTTAAATGCAATTATTTTTTTAAAATTTTAGTACATTATTGAGATGCCAGTTCTAATCCCATACAAAATGAACAACCAATTTCTACATGACCCTCAGCATCACGGTAGGTGGCTAGAGTTATCTCTATCTAATATTACAGCTATCTCTGTTCATTTAGCCATTATGTAACTTATCTCTTATCATAAGAACATAACATGTTTTCACTCAAACAAATGTCTTATACAATGCAATTCTTTTATTCGTATTACATACCTGATTACTACATAACGCGTGACTTAAGTTAATTTATAAACACATTTTTGACAAGCGGGGATTTTTATCATTATATTGAATTTATTTACTTTTAACATATATTATTTTTTAATATGAAATACATTTGCTTTTTACATAAATTGTTATTAATTCAAATATGTGGAGTGGATAAAAGTGGAAAAATAATAAACATTAAAGCGTGTCGCCAACAATCACAGACTGGTACCATACAAAATAGGGTAAATATTTGTTTGCCAAAAAGTAGCTAACTTTGGTATTAAGTTATTAACATAATCACTATCATATGTCACTAAAATAATGTCAACATTTTTCGTTTCTTCAAAGTTGCTATCAGCAACACAAAAATAGCTCTTTTTTACCCCTGTTGCATACATTTGCAGATGCACCTGTGCCTTACATTTTTCTGTGATAACACCGTTTTTCAAATAACTGTCTTTTGCTTTTGCCTTGCTAGGGCATTTTATTTCAATAACGGCACCTTTTATTAAACCATCAGGTGATGCCGCAATCATGGGATTCTCTTTGCACACATAAAGCCCACATGGGGTGATTTTTCTTTTCAATATATTACTGACTGTCTTTCGGACAGACAGTTCTAAATTTCTACCTCTTCTCATTGCAGCTGTATCAGGTATTTTTGCCCCCATGATAGAAGCCACCAATGAACCATCTGGTGTATGACAAACACTTACTTCATGTGCCCTTGAAGCTGTGATACGGCCATATCGCATCTCATACCACAAGCTGCTTTTGTTCTGCCTCCTTGTTGCTTCTTCAATGGTACTTATCACAGCTTCAGTAAATGTTGCTTTCATCACGTCAATAAACTTGTCTACATCTGCTTTAATTTCTGGAGATTGGTCCATTACTAAACAGTGCAATGAATACTGCATCACATTACTATGCTTAAAATCATGCTGATATTTTAGCAATTCACAGTTATCAATTTTTCTCTTTTTGGCTTCTGAAATAAATTCAGTATAAAGTGCTGATGAACTCGGTCTGTGAGGTACTTCTTTTTTAGACATCTGCTGCACAGTAATATATTTTAGCGTAGTCCCTACTTTGGACAATGTAGGCTTTTTCCAATAGCACTCTATGGAAGTACATGCAGGTTCATCAGAACGGCGAAGGACCCACATCAAAAAAGCAACTGCATGCTTGCATCCTCCAGCTGAAGCAGCACAGTCGTGGCATTGACAGCTCATAATTTCGCTGTCATTTTCATTAATAATCATCGTCACATTATATGGTTTGGTTCTAACTTTATGCTCTGGGCACATTTTACACTTAACTGTACAAACCCCATGCTCCCGTTGTAGTTGGACATAGCCAATCGCATCGTCTCCATAGGATTCCCTTGCAGACCTGTAAAACAAAAGTAAAGCCCATTACAAAGAGAATTTACAAGAAATTTCTAACTATATCAACATAACCTAAAATGAGATATTACAAAACTTCTGAATGACAATCATATTTATAGGTTTGTAAATAAATAATTCGTACATAGTACTTACACTGCTGTTTTCACATTCTTATGTTCTGCAGCATAGTAATCAGCGTTATTCTTAAAGAAATCTGCAACCATAAATCCGTCTATCTTAGGCAAGTTGCTGTTATCGGCTCGCACAAAATTTGATTCCATTTTGAGATACAAAACGAATATTTATGCCGCTAGTTATCAAATTTATCAGAAATACTAATTCAGAAATAGCTCAAAGATCGAATATAGCACCCAAAAACGTAGAACTCGAACTACAATCACTCAAAGCAGCTATGTTTACTCGCGTGTGACGTCACCAGAGTCGAAACCAATCACAGGGCGTTCTCGTTACAGATAAAATTTAAAAAAAAAATTATGTTTTATTTTCGTTTATTTTGCATAAAATATAAATATCTTAGGTTAAAATAAAGTGAAATATATTTTTTTACCCTATTATCTGATAGGATGACCACAATTTATAGTATATTTTCAATGTTGTCAAATAGCCTATTGTTATCTATACATATAATAAATCTGTAGAAAAGTCGTGTCTGTAATTCTAATATATTCTTGAAAAAACAAGTCCAGGGGACTAAATAAAGGGTTCTGAAGCCAAATTAATGGTTTTTAGAATTTTTGTCTGTCTGTCTGTCTTTCTGTCTGTCTGTCTGTCTGTGTATTCCGGATTCACGCAAAAACTACTGAACCGATTTACATGAAATTTTGTATGTAGGTAGTCAGTAACCCGGGGCAACTTATAGGCTACTTTTTATGCGATTACGGAACTTCAAAAAAGGAAGGTTAAGTTTATTAATTTCCTTTAGATGTTAATTTTCTGTTGTATCTTAGTTATAGGCGGAACGACGGGTGTTTTTCAAATAAATACCATATTACCATATTTGTAAATAAAGTTTAAAATATAGTTATAATCTTGGTAAAATAATTTGAAACTACACCGATTTCGTATTCAAAACAGCGCCATCTATCATCAAATGGAAAAAGTTGTATATTTTGCCTTCAGTTAGTAATAAATGAAATAATATAAATAACTTACATTTATATGATTAAATTATTAGGTTTTTAAAATTATTAAAAAAATTGTAACGTTCAGTTTTTTAGTATTTTGTTATTTTATTTTAAAAGTGTAATAATTTCAATAGATAATAGTGATGTCTATCAAAAATATGAAAATTGATAAGGTATTTATTTCAATTACTAATATATATGTAAAGTGATAAAAACTGGTCTGTCTGCAATTGTTGCAGAATTTTCATTATCATCATAGTTTTATTAAAGAGATTTTTATGTAAGTCGTGCCCAGATCGTAGAATTGATCATATATCATAAAGTAGTCTATCATTTCGTGAAAACACTGAAAAAAGGACTGAAATGAATGTGTTACTAACACTACCACTATTTGATGACCGTGTCATTATATAGCTTGACCAAATCAATGAATAGAAATCTTTTGAAGTTATTAGTAACTAAACACAACGTTGCTATTTCATAATATGGTCATATGACGATATCATTATCATTTTTCACCGCTAGCGGCGCTGATAGCTTATTTTTAACAGAAACAGAACTTTTAAGAGAATTGACATCACTTTATCCCTTATTGATTTGATATAATAAATAAATGTTCGTTTCTATTGCTGATATTACTAGATGGTATAGTTTTGGCTTTCATTATTTCATGTAATATTAGCGCCACCTACTTACTTCTAAATAAATTAAAATGGCAAGACATTGATAAAATGAAATAATACAATGCTACTGAATATACGATGTAAATAATTGAATCATTTACATTAC